CAGGACCTAGCAGCAGCCTTCCTGTACTCCTGAGGAAGTTATCAGGAAGGTGGAGCCACACTCTTTACTGGGGTGCATAGTGGGAGGATGAGAAACAATGGGCATGAGTTGAAACGTGAGTCCCAAGCATTGAGGTTCAGACTAGATACAAGAAAAACTTTTACCTCATGGAGGACAGTGAAGCAATGGGACAGGTTGCCCAGAGAGTTTCTGGAGTCACCATCCTTGGAGGTTTACAAGTCCCAGCTGTACAGAGTGTCTGAGCGACCTGGTCTGCCTTTGTAGCCAACCCGGCTTTGAGCAGAAGGTTGAACTAGAGACATGATTTATCCTATGACCCTATGCATTTTGGATAATAATTAATAGTTGTCTTGAGAAAAATATTCCAAATAAGGCTTGTAGACTTCTAAGAAAGTCAAAGATCTTATAGCCAAGTGATGCAGATATTTAATTGCCCCAGGATCAGTTGGATAAGTTTTGAACAATCTTGATGACTTTGATTCCTTTTCCAATACCTGTTTGGAAGCTATCCCAGTAGGAGAAACAGACCAATTCAAAGCATAGTTTTCTCACCTACTTGGTTAAAACAGGTATTGTCTTATTAACATATCCAATTCTTTCTGCTAGTATAGGTCACCTACAGTCCAGCAGCCCAAGATACAAATTCAACTTCATAGCAGATGTGGTGGAAAAGATTGCACCTGCAGTTGTGCACATTGAACTCTTCCTCAGGTAACACTTTCAGTTCTTTGTGTTTAATTGCATTGTTTAACAAAGGTCTACAAATATTTTCCAGTGTCATAACTTTCATTTTGGATTCTTGAAGTTCACACAATACTCTGAAACATTACAGCAGACTTGTTTATCCAGAGAATTCCCCATTTGTGTGTTTTTTTTTTTCCTGTTCAGTAGATCTATTTTATTGGGCTTACAGTCTTTACAGTACTTTACAATACATATTGACCACCATAAAATAAGTCTCTCCCATCTTTGGAGGTCTCTTTAGCCTTCACTAAAATGTGTTCCTTGTTGGATTAAGTTTATTATTTCAGTTTAAATAAAACAACTCCAGAAGGTATGCTGGAAAACATAGCTCCTTGTTGCTTATTCCGCTTTCAATGAGAGGTGATTTTGTTTTGGCAGGGAGAACATTAAGAGGTAGCGTGTTGACCAGATGTAACCTATCTAAACAGAGAAATGATTTCTGATAGGAAAAAAATGTACTAAATTTGCTGACCAAAACATAGCAATATTCAGTGTACTCAAGCTGGAGCTGAGGCAGCAAGTTTAACATTGAATGCTCAAAACAGCCTGGGAGGCAGGTTTAACGTTGAGTGCTCAAACCAACCTGCTGTCAGAACAAATTACTGCAGGTATTATATGTACTCCATTACCTGAATACCTTTCTGGTTGGAGTACTCTTAATTTTGCATAGGCTTAAGAATTTCTTTGAGAATGTTTATAGGCTTTTTTTAATATGCAAAATCAAGATAATCAGGTTTTCTGAGACATAGCTTTATGCACATGGTGATTGGTCTTTAGAGAGAATGTTACAGTTGAAGATGTTTAAGATCTTGGCATATGTAGTTAAGATTGTTTGTTTCCCTATAAGTAAATGTTTGTCCATCAGCCTGCTGGGCGCTAATTGTGATACTGCCTTCTGCCTGGGATTGGCTCCAATTCTTTACTGCTGAATAGCCCAGAACGTTCAAACAATTTCCTAATAAGGAACACATCTTGGAATAAAGAATAATCTGTGGACTTTTTCTCATCTTGTAGTGCCCAGGCACTTTCTGTTTCCCTAACAAATCTGAGGTCATTACAGCAACTGTTCACAGAGAAACGTTTTAATACTTTAAACAGTTTATAAAGTCTTTTAACTGTCTATATTGCAGCAAATGTTGTTTCCCACCAAGTTTTACCCATTGTTAGTGTTTTTAATTTCTTTTCTTTCGCATTCCCAGTCCTTTCAGTTTCCAGACATGCTTTTTCCTGCCAGTCTATGCTTGGGCTTCATGATTTCCTGAGACGTCACCTCTTCCTTTACTCTTCTGTCCAACTGCAGGGTTCCTGCTTCTTCCCTTTTCCCATTAGAGAATCAGTCCATTTGTCAGCCCTACTATTTCCTGTCATTTTCTTACCATGTAGAAGCAGCAACTGGTGGGATCAGATGGGCTCCTCCTTCCCTTTTTGTCACCTAGCCTCTTTGCAAGGAAGCCTATAAAGACAGAATTGGAAACCAAAGGAAAAGGACGCTGCGGGTTGTCGGAAAACCTCGGTTCCTATCTCCCTGGCTGACTAAAAGCAGTCACAGTTTTCAGAAAAGGATGCTTTCTTTGTAAGGGCTTTAACATTGGTCATCAAATGCTTTGTTATTTCTCAGGATGAAAGGTGGTAAATGATTTCTGATGTGACCTTCTCTAAGTTATGCTTTCCTTATGAGTTGTAATTACTTGCTTTTTGTACAGGCACCCTCTCTTTGGTCGAAATGTCCCACTTTCCAGTGGATCTGGGTTTATTATGTCTGATTCTGGTTTAATTGTGACCAATGCCCACGTGGTGTCAAGCACCAATGCTGTATCAGGGAGACAACAACTGAAAGTGCAGCTACAGAATGGAGATACCTATGAAGCAACCATCAAAGACATTGACAAGAAATCTGACATTGCAACAATAAAAATTCACCCTAAGGTGAGTGGCATAAACACATGAATGAGTTAATTTGGGAACCCTATTTCAGTTTCATTTAGCACAGAGTGACTGGCTGGAATAGAGATTTAGGGATTCCTTAGAAATATATCTGGGGAAAACAGTGTACTGAACAAACTGTTTTTGTAGGCCTGGAAATTTTTTATATCTTAGAATTAAATTACTTTGCCTTCTGTTCTAGGAACTGATAAAAAGGTAGGAAAAAATGCAGCTCAGTTAATGTGTGGCCAGATTCTGCTATCTTTACCTGAAGACCCAGGCTATTTTGGATAATTCTTGTAGGTTTGAGCCAATACATGGACTGTAAGGTGGTACATAGTGTAGGGAGGGTGGCAGGCTGGTCAATAGCTGGTTTATATGCTATACCAAGAAGAAGGAGGAAACAATCTGCTGGAAAATGGGGAAATCTCTTTCAGAATCTTGCTGGCTTTTTTTTCTGGATGAAATTGAAAGGTACTGCTGTTAACAGTTTGTTTCTGAAGACAATTTAAAGCAGTAACATCCTGCATACTAATTTTACCTGGCATAAATTTTGCGTATATGGTAGTACATGGCTCTTTCTTTAATGTAATGGAAAGTGTATGTTCCTAACTTCTTGCTAGTTTTTGATCTTTCCTGTTGGGTTATTTTCAGGTATAAGCTAATGTTTTTTTCTTTCTTTCTGTGTTTATTTAAGAAAAAACTACCAGTATTGTTACTGGGACACTCTGCTGATCTGAGGCCAGGAGAATTTGTGGTGGCAATTGGAAGTCCATTTGCCTTACAGAACACTGTGACAACAGGTATTGTCAGCACTGCTCAGCGAGATGGCAAAGAGCTCGGCCTGCGGGACTCGGATATGGATTACATTCAGACAGATGCTATTATCAATGTAAGTGCTAGGCACGTGAGGAGCTGAGCTTCATATTCCTGGGATCTTGAAGTCCCCCTCTGTTCAGCAGAGAAGTGTGTGCTCTGAAAGATGAATCCACTTTGTTGTTCTTGTTTTCCCTTTGCACATCACATACTCGGAGAATCTAGATGTAAAATAACATGAAGTTTGAAATACAGTTTGGAGTTAAGGGTCCTAGCACTGCAGGTGGTGTAGAAATATATGCAAATAATATTTCTTCAGAGCAGCTTGGAGAGATCCAAAGAGCTTAAGTAGTGTCCTTGGGTGTGTATATAACTTGTAGTGAGTCTAAAAAGAGCACAGCACACATATCCAAGGTAGAAAATACCCTGAAATTTTACAGCTTAAATCTGTTATACATTGAAAGGAAAATATTTTCAGCATTTATTTGCTGGACCTCAATACCAAATTTGACATAGCAAGTCATAATGCTTAAAATTTTACACATCCAAAGTGCCTCACAAATGTTTATCATTTCAGACTTGTTGAGAGAAATTGTACAGGGAAAAGAAGAGGGTAACTACTTTTTGTGTTAAGATATGACATGAAAGTGAGCTTTTTCAAGAAGCTCATATATGGTCCAGGAGCTGAGGCTCTTAAGACATTTAATTGGAATTAGTTTCTTCAGTTGTAGAAGGAGAATAGGAAAACTTTTGCAAAATGGGTTACTTGGGAGCACACACTGTATTAGTGGTAGAGACAGAATTAGAACATGGGATTCTTGAATTCACGCCTATACGCATTCCTCAAGATCAAACTGCTTCATCGTATATACTTAGGCATTCACTGCCTGCAAAAGCTAATAAGCAAGTTTAGACAAGGATAGCAGAGCATGTCAGATAATACTAGACCAAATGGAATACTGATAGTAGAGGAGGTAAGGAAAATGACAATATATTTGGGTTGCTTTGCCATCTGAGACCAAAAAATATGAAGATAGTCCCTGGCATAGGGATGCTTTGTGCTTAGCTAATGCACTAGTTTTCTCCTGAGAATGGGAGGAGTTTGAGAGCTGGTCTGTTCAGAGCATTCCTGTGGCTCAGCCAAGACTTCCCTGCAGGAATGTGCATGCAGCTGCCTTCTGAGAAATGCTAGGACAGCAGGAACATGGGGCAGGAGAAAACGGCCATATGTTCCTAAATGGAGCTATACTGCATGTGCCGAAGTTCTTTCATTATCACATCCTTCAAGCAGAGAACAAGTGAATGAAAGATGACATGCTGAGGAAGGCTGAAAAATCATTACCTTGATTCCTTTGCACCAGTCAGACACAAAAATCAACTGTGTAGCCTCTGATCACTAAAAAGATACAACATAAGAAACTGATCTCTTTGTTTAAATTTGAACTTCAAGCTGTTTTAAAAACTTTGTCTGTTTTATTCTTCTGAGAATCTATAAGGTTTGCCCAGTGCTATCTAAGTGTAAACAGTTTATATGGCTCATGTTGCTGTCATTCATCAGTTAGCTTTTGTTTATTTTGAGTGGTAAGTTGCTGCTCTTGGCTGTTCAGTAGACCTACTTGAAAACTCTGGCCTCACTCAAAAACAAACTTATTGAGCCAGCGTGAAGATGGACAAGGAACTTCTCCAGCTGCCATTTCCTGTAGTCCTGTTGGATGTTTCCTTTGAAGGCCATTAGGTATTAGGCAATTTCAGACTGCTCAGAGCTGCTATATGCCCTTCCTAGAGGGGCTGCATGTCTGTGGTTACTAAATCAATCCTTAAAATATTACCTACCTCATAGCAATATGCTCTGATTAAACATGTAAAGCACTGTGTTCTTCTCTGGTGGAGAATAAGAGAGGCTGACAGTGTTACAAACCAAAATGATGAATAAAGCTACTTAAGAAAGGTACAAGCACCTCACTGAAATACAACTTTAAACAGCAATTAATTATTTCAAAACCTTGTTCTGACAGTCTTTAGAAGAACAGAAATACTCTTTTTAATTATTTAATGATTCTTCTTGAACTTAGGGTCTAACTATTTGGAGTAGTAAGTTGCTGCTCCTAACTTAAGGCCTGTTACTGAAAAGAAAAATCTAATCATAAGAGGTGTGAATGGGTAAGACCTACCTGTAATCCGTGATCACTATTGTGTCCTTCAGTGCTGCCTAAGAAATGACCTGCTCTCTTTAATTTACTTACCAATAAAATACTGTTTGAAATGAACATTGTATTTTCTACAGCAAAGCACCAATTTATTGTTCCCTTATGTCATTTTTACAGTACGGCAACTCTGGAGGACCTCTAGTTAATCTGGTAAGTCCAGGTGACTTGATTTTTGTTTTGTTTTGCTTTGTTTCAAGAGCTAGTTTGAAATAAGTGGGAGGATATTTTTTTAGAAGATTCATAGGTCATACCAGCTTCCAGCCATTCAAGCTAATGGTAGGCAGATACCCTGAAGCTAATACAAACTGTACAAATCAGGTCGCAGTTCATACAGTGTTGACAAACACTTGCCCATAGAGCAGTGGAAGTTTTACACAGGAGTGAGGAAAACAGGATCTGGTAGTAGCAATTATGCTCATTCACACTATGAAACCTGGGATGTGTGGCAAAGGTGGGAGCTGGTTAATCCACACAACTGATTTCAAAATAAATAGCTTGAAATCAGCACTGATTTTGCAGGTCAGTGAACTGTGGCTGCTGTAGTAGTAGTGACTCCACTGTCCACTCAGCAGATGGACCTTGGATGAACAAACTGTACTGTAATCTCTCTGGCCATCACAATTAAATGCGAAAGCGGTTGTGAGTCATAGCCCAGGTCCTCCCTTACAAGTAATGTTTCTTTATTGAGTGATTACAACACTCCAAAATTTCTCACACCAGCCTTTAACATGAAATGCTAGGCAGTGAGCTGAACCCTGTCACTTAGGAGCAAACTAATTGGGTGCTGTCTCTCAACAGGATGGTGAAGTGATTGGGATTAACACCTTGAAGGTCACAGCTGGAATTTCTTTTGCTATTCCTTCAGACCGCATCACTCAGTTTCTCACAGAGTCACACGACAAACAAAGTAAAGGTAAGGTCTGCAAGAAACAGTGACATCTTCAAATTTTTATCCTGATCTGTCAGTGTAGTGCCAAAGACATGGGTCTGGGGTCCTATGACTGAAAGGAGCAGCATTGTTTTACAGTGTAGAACACCATAGACTTGGGAATGGAAAACAACTTCACAGAAGAGGGAGAGATGTTTTATTACTCAAAACCTCAAAGAGCAGACAGTATCTGTATAAATATGGGGAAGAGGGCCTCTGAGGATAGTGAGGACACAGATGAGTCATTACAGTCTCAAAAGATCTTGAGAACAGATAGTGACTTGTTCAAGGAGTCGTATCCTTTTCTTCCACATATTGTCTAAGCAAAAAGGAGATTAAGGTGTACTGTGGAGAATAAAGTAAAAACTTTTTAAATCACTTCTCCGCAGATGGAATGTAGTGTGTGTAGTATCAGTGGATGATCTTTATTTTGCCATGGTCATCTATGCCAGTGCTATATAACTGGATATCATGATAGACTCTCGGATCCTGGTGGAAGAAGAGCTGTGCGCTAATTCCTGAAGAAATACATGAGGAAGCGGGGGAGAGGCAGAAAAAAAGAAAGGCCACTGCACCAAAGAGCATATAAATATACCAGCAACTGACAACTGCAGTCCTCTGAACTTATTTTATGTGCCTGCCTTGTATCTGTCACACTGTAGGAGGTGTCATGCTACATGCTGCACAGCCAAAGCTGATCTGGTAATGCTTCATCCAGGCCAAACCTTCCTTTCTCTTTCGCTTGCCAATTTATCTGTCCACACCCTTCTCATCTTGTATCATGACTGTTGGCTGCTGTTTCTCTTGAATCTTTTTGATATTAATCTTGTCTTCTCCTGAGTTCACCCAGTTGCTGATTTTTTACACCACTGTCCTCCAAGTGTTCTCTCAGATACTGTTATTTGAGAAACTTGTGTTAGTCAGAGGTTTTAAAGTTATGCATCTGCTCATATATTTGAGACCGTCACAATTCTGATGGGTCACCTCATCTGTGTTTTGCTGAATTCCCCAAATCAGATTCTTTTCACTTGATGATTTGGGGAGGGGAGAGGTTGATATAAAAGGTTGTTAATTATGTGCTGGAAAGTACAGTTCAAAGTAGCTGACATAATTTTGTTTCAGCCAACAAGTCAAAAACCCTATTATTTATTCACCCAGGGTGCTAATGGTTGGCTTCCGAGAGCAGCAGGTCTGTATTACTGGTGATGTTACCCTTCAGAACCAAACTGCTCATCTTGAAACAGGGAGGAGTGATGGCTCAGCCTGCAGGCATGGCTCTAGAGGCATGAACGCAAACCTTGTGCAGAAAGCCCAGCATCTGCCAGTGGGTTCCTGGTAGCTGGGGCTGGAAGGTCACCGAAGGCTAGAGATGCCCAGCTAGATGGCCTAGAGATAACTTTGCCTATGGAACCCT